CGTGTTAGCTAGCTATATCGCCCGATAGTAAATAACCCAATTCGAATTGCTAGCTAGGTATATCGGGTAGTATATTGAGTTAGCTAGCTAGATCGCCCGATAGTCGATATTTTTTTTCTCCTTGGGTTGAAAAACCGCGAACGCTAAAGGATTCAATCTTTAATTTTTAGCGATAGTTACTCTGAACATTTCCAGTCTTGCATCCAGTGAATTGTGTTTTGCGCTTTACCCCAAGATGAGCAATCGGAGGACACAGCGGTGAATTGCGTGGCAATGGATTGCGACTTCTACTTTGCTGCAAAGTATCACACAGAATAGTGTCGACAAGGAAGCATCAAGGATAATTGCTTTAGATGTTTTTCCTATGTCAGTTGTTCTTCTGAGATAAAAGGTAGAAGAACTTCGAATTCAAGTATTTTTCAACATCTTTTTGTTGAAACAAGGCATACAGAGCAAACAACTGCACCGACATCGATTTTCCGATGCTTTCTTTGCATAGAGGAGTTTTCCGAAAAACTGGATTTTTAACTAGTTTGGGGAACCGAAAATCTCTGGTGAGGAACGTTATTTTTTTATCAATAATATATGCTTTACAATTGTCTTCTGGCGCTCTATCCGACAATACGATTCTGAATTCTCTCACATGAAAACCGGTAACAGAGTTCGAGGCTCTTTGAAGGGTAATTTCACGTTTTCCCCAACTTTTGGACCCTATACTATCAAAACGGGAGATGCAAAGAAAGCGTCGGGGAAAAACTTTCCGCTAAGCAAAATGTTTGTCTTCTTAACTAGTACCAATCCTAAAACTTCCAGCCTTCTGTTATTTAAAAGGATCGAACGCTAGAAATAGAGTTTTAGCTGGGAAGGCTCTTTCAATCCTTGGTTGGAAACCATTATGCCATCATTTTAAGATTTTTTGAAGGTTCATTTCGGATCCAGGACATCAAGGTCTACTAGTTCTCAAAGTTTAAAACGGTTCGGATGAAGTCCATGTAATTGTGGTACGTTCTCCAAAGAATCACTCTGTATCGTTTCTAGATACTTTGCTTCTAGAAACCTAGCAGATCTCTTCTCTGCTTCGAGAAGATCCACGCCTCTATGAACACCATTGAGTGCTCTGTGTGTATTTGTCGTCAAATTCTGTGTAACCACACCTTACAGTTAGAAAATCTATTTGAGATGTATTGACAAATACACCGAGAGGCTCTTGCTTCAAGGCTCATCAAACTGCAATTCTAACTTTGGGGTCAAATTCGGAATCTGACGGGCCAAAAGTTGAATTTTAATTTTGGCCAGGTCAAAATCGAAATTTGGAACTATTATTATTATTATTCTATAATATTATATTAATTATTGACCCCTTGCGAGACGGACGGGTTAAGGTGTCGAAAATTCAACATTCGATAATTAATATAATATTATCCAATAAGAATAAGAATTCCAAATTTCGATTTTGACCCGGTCAAAATTAAATTTTAGCTTTTGGCTAGCAAAATTCTGAATTTGTCCGAATTTAAAGTTGGCCACAATATATACATATATGAAACATACTGCAAAGGTCGCGAAGACATAGATACAGCTAGCTATATATGTATATGTTACGGGCAAAACTGGAATTCTAGTTTTGACTACAGAAATATTGGTCAAAACTGGAATCTTGGCAAATCTGAGATTACAAGAGTGAAATGCAACTCTTATTTAAAATTGATAATCATGCTCTTAGTTTCTCTAGTAAGACTGAAGACATGCTTGCTAATACGGTATATATACTCAAATCTTTACTAAATACTGATCTACTTAACCGCGAAAAGGTGGCATGATATCTAAGTAGTTTTTTTATTTTGTGTATTAATATATGTGCACTCAAATACGAACATTTACTAGTAAGACAATCTATTTCATTATGTACATGTGCACTCATCTGAATAGTAGTAAAGAAATCTGATATGTGTTTACAGAACTTTTCTGAGTTTCAACTTTAAAAAGATAGAATAAAAAAGAATACATTCGTTTTCATCAATATCAATCAACATGTAGTGTTAGCAGTGTATCTGAAAAGAACATAATGCTTTTTAAACTATATTCATACATTTACCCTTTTTTGAATGGCATTTGGTGGAACAGGCGACCCCGGCCTTTTTACAAGGACAGTGTTTAGTGACACATTGGCTTTTACAATCACAAGTAGCTCCACGGACATATAATTTCGAAGCTTCAATCAAAGACAGTTCCTTCTCTAAATCAAATAAATTAAGCGACTTTAATTCGTTAGGACAGCTACTTCGTAGATCAATAAGACTTTCTATACCAAATCTGTCTTTCAAGAATCCGAATTGGCACGCTAAAAACATACGTAATCGTCATCTTTCGTTACTAACAACTAAGCATGGTAAAATTTTTGAATCTGTATTTGTTCTGTCAACAGTATGAGTTCGCACTCCAACACAGTCATTTTTTTTATACATTTCTGCCAAATTACTTAGATATTCATCACACGATTTTCTTCGTTTATTAGCTGTTTCTAAATAATTATCTTGCGCTTTGCGCCGAGTATTTTCATGTCTTATTGGGTTATTTTCTAATGAATTATAGTTTATAAAAGATGAGGATGGTTCAGAAACACAATTAGTTTTTGAAGTAGAATTAGTAGCAGGTGCTGTAGGTATTGACTGTAAATCTGAAAGTACTACGTTATTTTCGTTACTTAAACATGTAACTGGGCTGAAAGTTAAATTATGTAAGTCAAAAAGTGTTGTTGATACTCGTTGTGGAGATGGAGGCGAATCAAAAGATATTAGATTTTCTATTACTGAGTTATCGTTAACAATCAATGGTTGTTGACGTGAAACATGCAGAGTAGATGGTGATAAATCAATAAGGCATTGAGAAGTAGATTGAGAGATACTAGCATTTAGAGGACTGGGTAAACATGTTACATTTGAATTATGAAGAGATTCTTGATGATCAATATTATCAATAATATTATCAATTGTTTAAGATGTCCTTCTTTTTCTCTTCTTAGTTGCTGGAATAAAATAGTGTCATAATAACAAGAGACGGCGATTGCGGATATTAGTAAATTAATGAACAACTACGATTCAATTAAAGCAACAACTATATCATTTTATAATATTAATTATACTAGAAGTATTCAAGATTATTTACCATTCGTAAATTTACCATTAATAAAAAAGAAAAGGAAACAAGTTTTGTATAACATTTCTGGATTATTCAAAAGTGGAATGAACGCAATACTTGGAAAGTCTTGTTTTTTCCTCTCTCTATCTCTCTTCCGATGTAATAATATTGATCAAATTTATTTAGGTCCCACTGAATCTGGGAAAACATCTTTGCTAGATATTTTAGCCGATAGAAAAGATCGACAAGGTTTAACTGGAAAGGTACTTATTGATAGAGAGCCACAATTAAATGATTTCAAATATCGCAGTGGTTATGTTGTTCAAGATAATATTCTCAGTGACACTCTAACTGTACGTGAGAATTTAACATTTTTCAGCAAATTTGCGTTCATCAAATTTAGTAACACAAGAAGAAAAACGAAATATTGTTAATCAAGTCATATGTCAATTAGGATTAAACGAATGCGCTGATTCACTAGTGGGAACACAGTTTACTCGGGGATTATCTGGAGGAGAATGTAAACGAACGAATATTGGAATGGAATTAGTTGTTTCGCCCATGATTATCCTTTTGGACGAACCAACCAGTGGTGAGTTTCTTTTTTTCTTGTTATATAGCATATGAACCCGAAAAATATCATTCCGATATTTGATGAAGGATTCAGCTGAAACGAACATTTGAATCTTATTCTACCTAACTTCCTGTCGTTTTCGTTTTTCCCAAGGCTCTATAGTTTGTCTAGAATAATTAAAACAAAATGAATAATGATTGACCGAGTGGTAGTTTGCGTGATTTAATAGACCTTCAGTTTTAAAGAAATCCTGCATGTTTCTCAGATGATTTGAAATCTACTTACAATGATCAATTAAATATCAAATAAGTTAAAGTAGTCTATTTACAAATAGGAGGAAGCACACAGATTTCAGAATTTTGAAATTCCAGCAAGGGGGAAAAAGCATACTTCTGTACTTCTGGAGTACGCAGAAGTACTATGAAGTACCATGAAGTATCGAGAAATCCTAAGAGGTATCAAAGACTTTAAAGTCTTTACTTAATGATCGATATCTTTATTCAAATGGATCAGATTAAGAAAAAGACACAGAGAAGAAGCAAGCATTGTTATTGATCGTTCTGGCCTGCTTCAATTACACGAGAGGGACGATCACTTGATGAATGAGTTTTTGTGTCAGTTAAAACTCGGCATGCTGATTCTTTAAGCAAATATTGCCAGTCTTCGTTAATTTTGATTTTCAAATATGAATTGTTCAAGTGCAGACTAACTTTATCTACAATACTGATGCGGGAGAAAGTTAATTTTGTTGAAGTCATGACTTCTTCATCAATATTTTCGCCGGTTTCACCAATTGACTCTAATTGTTCTTCGTCGTCTTCAGCATCACTGTTTGTTGTATCACTTGCATCATCCTCGTCCTCGTCTACTTCCAGTTCATCACTGTCGTCATTTATTGCTCGTGTAGAGTAATCAAAGAATCTTGAGTTTGTATTTAATTGTTTGTAAACATATTTACTTAATGACCCTAAAACAAAAATACCACGTTCCTTTGATAATGTTGATATCTTTGAATGTTGAATAAGATTGATCGCTGTGTAATACACATTCAATATTATTTTTTCGATGTCTAATTCATCAATATCTTCCAAATGTAGCACCGATAATGAATGCCTATGTTTGTGGTGTACAGGAAATAATAAACTTTCATTGGATTGATCACATTTCATTTTATGCAACATGGACAGTTTTTGTGGACGTCGAAGAAAGTCATTTATTATGAAATTGACTATTTTATGAGAATGTATCACTTAATGATCTTGTATTACGAAACGTCGATTCACACGCCTGGGAATTAATAAATGAATATTTAAGGCCTCTTTTGGTAGTTGTTTCTGTTGCACTAGTAAAACTAAACAAAGTAAATTGTGAGCATTGATTTCCACGGATAAATAGGCTGGCTTGGTAATGAAATATTTGCCATTGCTATTCAGCGTTTTATTTGTTGTTACTGTTGTAGTTTTCGATGATTTGGAAACTTTCAAATTCTTAATCCACGACCAACATAAACGACACACAAATACTAGGCACTATGATGATTCTATGCTTAAGAGAAAAAATATAGACATCAATGAATCAAAGGTGACGATCTGTTCTCATTCCTTCCAGTTGTATATTAGAGATAGGCATACTTACGCTCAGCGATAGTCGTAGATTTTTCAATGTATGCTGTGATTATCATTTTCAATGACTGTAAATAAACCAGAGTATCATGAGCATCTGTTCTATCAGCCAATAAATTCAATAAATCATTCGATACTAATTTCACACATGAGCTATGGTTTTGTCTATCTTTCGGGTTCAAGTCAGATCTGGTCAAGCCATGATCGAGTTTTGTGTACCGATCACTTTAAGAATATCTCTTAAGTGCTCCATAGTGATTCGATCTTGTCCAAGACACAAATCTGCTATTGTTGATAATAGTCGATTTCGCCCATTGGTGATAAGAATTGGATCTTGAAAGAATAAGAGACGTTGTTATGGTCGAAGATAGAACCATGACCATTGAGACGGTAATTGTATTTTGAATAAATGAAGATGATCATGAAATTTGAAATGTGAAAGGGAAGCGAAAAAAATCCACTAGCTGGACGCATTGCACGCATGTATTTGTTGTCAGCATCTATTACAAAGACAAGAAAAGACAGAAGTTTCTCTCTCATAATTATACATATCAAAACGCATTAATTTCTTCACATTTATCTGTTGAAAAACCTATTATTCTGATTTGTTTTTCGAAGCAATTTTCGAATATAAACATCCATCGACGTAAAACATCGTTAGCTGTGAACTTGTTAGCAACACCATAAGCACCTAATAAAAACGGGATCGGAACACGTCTTTCATTTGATGATGATGGTATCGGCTGAACCACGTGTACGTTCAGAAGTGGTGCTTTTCGATGGTATCAAACCAAAACTTAGTAACTCTTTCTTTGTAACTCCACCCTCATCCTCACCCCCGTGCAGCCTTCATTTGAAAAACAAAATTTTGTATTTGATGGATAAAAATGGTGTCTACTTCATCGAACACATCATCTTCGCAATCAGCATCATTAAAACGTTCAGCAAATGATTCACAAACACCTGCATCAACGAAAAAGAAGTGTCGATTCATCAATTGAACTTTTCGCTCTCAAAGATGTTCTTGTTTTTGCAAATATATTGCTAATCATTTTGTTGTTACCGATCTCATGTTAGTCGCGAAATATTTTTCGCTTTTATTGTGGCAGATTGTCCTTTCGTCTCCCAATCAATTCTTATAATTCTTCTTCTATCTTACTACTACAAAATAAAACGAGTGAGAAGAAAGAGCATCGACAGATTATTTTTTGACAATATTTCGATCATGATTTTTTCAATCTAAGATAAAAAAGTGTAACCAAGATTCGATTGCTGAATTAGTTCTCATTAATTCTTGCACCAAAGAAGTACGAAAAAGTACAAAGAAGTACGAGAACAATCCTTCTCCTGGATTCGATCTTTCGACCTTTCATACAGTGTACTTCTCCAACTACGCATTTTCCCATTGCACGTAGTTCCAATGCGTGGTTGAAGAAATACAGCGTATGAAAGGTCGGAAGATCAAATCCAGAAGAAGAACACCCTAAAAATTGTTGTAAAACGAGTATCTTTCCTATAAAAAGTATTCTCTAGAAGTACGAGAAGTATGAGAAGTACGGAAGTATGCTTTTCCCCCCTTGAATTTAATCACAAGATTTGCATATTTGGAGAAAACATGGCTTTGCTTTAAAGAACACACTGAAGACAAGAAGAGGGTGTTTGAGAGTAGGATGACTATATGAAACCTTCTCAAGTAAAAGAAGCCTATATGTCCCTTTCGAGATAGATATCCAGAATACAACAGTAGCTATATGTCGTGACAGAAATTTTTCCATACACAAAGGAGAACTGTAAGAATAAGGTGTTAAAGTGTAACATCAGGTGGTGTGTAGAGAGAAAAAGTAAAAATTCCCACCACAATAATATCAAATGAATAATATTTGTAAAATGAAGAATAAGATCCATCATCATGAACTATATTACTAACGCTGTTGAAAAGTATCAATTTCAAACTATGCCAGTTTTGTGGTTTAATTATTCAGAATTCTGGAATGCTTCTGTTTATGAGACCACGACAGCTGAACTTCACTTTTAAAAGAATTCTGGTTTTAAAGTTGATCATTTGTTTACTATTCTAAACGAGATTATATGCATCTTTCATTTACTTGGTCTCTATCTTAAAATCACCCGTATAAGTGTAGAGGGAAAAAGATCCAGCTATTTTAGGAACGGCAATTACATTCGCGATGAACTTTCTAAAAGTATTTTCTTTTACCTACATTTCCCGGGCAGCATCTCTCCTTAGGTCACTAGAAGTCAAATGTGCATGTCTAATTTTGCTGCGGAAGTCGACAAAATTCTCATCGGAGGATCGTAGACAATGAACATGTAAAAAAATGCTCTTTGATGGCATTTAATTCAAAAAACCGGTAAGCTAAAATTACAGCAAGGAAAAGTTCAGTACTAAGGGAGATCAGCGCAAGTATTGGTGTGTCATAATTTTGAGACAAAAGTACGAACTCTCAGTCAATATGGAGTAAATGATTGTTTATAAACTCTAGATGGAATTATGTATAGTTTATGTGTATAAAGCTCAGTATAAAAATAAAGGCAAAAATTGTCATTCTCGACCTCATACATCCAATATAACAAACAAATTACAGTGATATATAAGGTCGACTAGAATAAATTGCTTTGAAATATCCGCTTGCGGATTGGAAATAATGTGTAACAACTGCCTGTCAAAACATTCATTGCTTTACTTCATAAATTGGGTACTTCAGGCAAGAGGAACAATATCTAGTCTCAGAATTAGTGTCATTCATAAGAATCCATACTATAAATAAATGAATGAATTTTGTTTAATCGTTAGATACAGAGTTTATTTAAATTTCGATGCACGATTACAAGGTTTTGATTTCATATTCTAAGTACGATTGTCAGATAAAATGACTTTGCGCTTTTAATGTTCAATTCTGTACTGTTTTCTTCAGACACATTCCATACATAATTCCATCCAGAGTTTATAAACAATCGTTTACACTATTGATTAAGAATTCGTACTTTTGTCTCAAAATTATGACACACCAATACTTGCGCTGATCTTCCTTGGTGTTGAGCGCTCCTCGCGCTGAACTCTCCGTTTCTCTTTAGCACGATCATATACAAATAGTTTAACTAGGCTTTTTGTATAATACTGCTTCAGACATAGTAAAAATCTCAAATCGAATACCATAGCATTGCATTATGGCACAGAAAATCATTTACCCCATTCAAATTGAATGTGAATGAAAACTTCAACAGCAATCATATGGTATAGTGATGATTAAAGAGTTATTCAAGAATATGGAATTGAAATTTCATCGACAAAATTAAACATATAATCGACCGTTAGCATTTATTATTGGTACATAGACAAAGAAGGAAATCTGATTTACTTCACAAAGGATCCGGAGTTCTACGTTGTCTTGTATATCGATCGACACTATTTCGAACAGTTATTGGAAACAAAAATTAAACGACAATTACCAAAAACGATACGCCCGCAATACGCAGTGTCATTAAAATTTGTCAATAACAATAATATATTGAGTATATATGGCTGTTATTGCTCCTACAAAAAGAGGTTTTAAGAGATAAGTTATAAAGAGAGGAAGGATATTATCAAAAGCTTTCTGTTGTTGGTTTTTCTTTTTTTTGCCATTATGTTAATGAAACTTTAACGTTCGTTATACGAGTTTGCTAACTCTTTGAAGGACAATAAATTCCAAAATGAAAAGGAAAACGTTTCATTTGTCCCTATTTTTCTTTCGATTCAGAACGATGAAAGAGAGTTTTATTACATGGTAATTTGCGTAAGCTATCATTCCACTCATATTTCTGACAAACTAGAGAGACCTGAAAGAAACTGAATCCTTCCTGAAATATCGTAATGATATTTGGTCGTGGTCATGTGCTAAACAACAACGACTAGAATTAAACAGAGGTCATCGATGTATGAAGTTTAGATTTGGATTCTGCCACGGCACAAGATATAATGAATGGTTTACATCGATTATCCCTTAAAGGACGTGCGTACAAATCTCTCGTTTTACTCGAACTTTATTTAAAGAGATGACATCTTTTTGACATGATGACATCTTATGACAAAACAAGAAGACATCTTTCTAAATAAAAGAATATATTCAGTTTAATATTCAAAACGTTCAGTGTATCGTGATGAGAAGAACAGATAGTATATCAAGTAACAGATATAGTATATCTGTTCTTCTCATCACGATATACTGAATGTTTATATTAGTAATTGAATTACTAATATAAAATAAATAAATTAATCGAGTGACACGCTGAATTTATAAAACAGTTGACAACAGTAACATGTTCATTGAAAGTTTTTTCTAGTAGACAAATTGTTTTATAGCGAAAGAACGTATTACTTTTCAATTACAAACAAAATAGTTCTTGATGTATCAGTGAAATTGAAAAAATTATACATTTGATTCACCTTATTTATTCTACAGTGGAAATGATCAGGAATTCATTGCAAACGTAATAAGGGAATTCAAATTGTTATTTATTTTATACAAGGTAGACATAGCTGTCCTCAG